TTAAAAAGGTAAGGAAGCCTGATATTTTCAGGCAATGAAAAGCACATGTAACAGATAAACAGAGAAGATGCAGTTTAATATGGTAGATTTAATACATAATATCAAGATGATTTTTAAAGACAGACTAAATGTAGAATTATGCATTTAATGTTCCACTAACTTTTTTTTTTCCAAATTGTACTGAAACAGAATTACAGAATTTAAAAATTAATGCTTTTATAAAGCAAAGAAAAAAAAATGAAATGCAATTTGCAATTGAAATTATTTGCAGTATGTATCCATTTCTTCAGAAAGTTCTTTACTTACTGTCTCTCTCTTTTTTTTTTTTTAAGATAAGGGAAACATTAGTTTTATTTCAGTAACTGACAGGATAAATATCAGTGGAGTTAACTTCACAGAAAGCAGTACTGGGCTCTACTACTTTTATTTCTGAACTCTACTCAAATTTCTTAAAAATAAACTGTGTAGAGCTGTCTGTGCTGTTTTCTTTTTCATAGGTGCTGAATAGCACTCGTGAAATCAGGAAAACAAATTACTTTAACAATACTACTTACATGAGTAATGCAGATGAGCTTCTTCCCAGAGTCATTTGTATCTATTTAAGACAGTAAGTATTGCTGAATAATGACAGAAACACTATGTATATTTTTAAAGGAAATCAGTAAGAAAAGAAAATCTACAGATTTATCACTTCTCCCTGAGACAATGCCTGGAGCTGTGCTTGGTTTAATTATTTTTAGGGATGTGATCAATCAACGTAGCAACCGCTGCACTGTATATCCAATACACTGAAAATCTAAGCAACTATCAAGCAAGTACATGCTGTAAAGTGTCTGTTAAATACCGATTAGCGCTGTGAAGCTGGAGATCCAGAAGCTGCTACAGCAGCTTGTCAGGCAGCTGCAGACCCTTGCGGTGCCTATATACCATTTTTTTCCCTAAATACTGCAGTCAAAACAGTTTGATGTCAAATCATTTGTCATCTATCTTTATGCTTCTGCAGAACAAAGGCTAAAGCAGAGGGTATTGGCATACAGAAGCGGTTTATAACTATGGAATCAGTAATTGTTTAATCATGTATAAGCAAAAGCAGAGAGTGGACTAGGAGCTGTGAGTGCGGGGCATTTGGTGTGTCTGTGAGATGGGTCATGGTGTGAAAAAAAAGGCCATCTTCTACTTACTAAAGTATTACCCATTTGAATGTAGAATTAATCTCCCTCTTACTTTTGTCGAAAGGATTTATGTGTTTGTACTGTCCATGAACCAATAAGAGCAGCCTCACACAGCTTGCTTGCTAAGCAAAGCAGGGGAAAAAAAAGATATTTTCCTGTCATTTCCTTCCTTTCTTCTTTTCTTTCC